ACAATATAAGGAAGCATTAGAAGCTGGAAAGCTTACTGTGAGTTTACGCTGACTGTTGCTGTCTGTCTGTGAGCTGGCTGTAACTGTGTGTTGCTACTTGCTGTAACTGTGTCTTGCTGCGACTAACTGTGATTACTGACTGTGAGTGCCTGTGACTGAACTGTTATTGTTTGCTACTGTTTGCTGAATATCCAGCGTTTGTTTCTCTGGAGAGTGAAACCGGAGGAGGAGAAGATATCTTTATCGGCTGATAAAGATATTGCAAGGACTCTTAACTTGGACTATACTAGTGAGTCTTACTGGATGGAAATACTGTGAATGACTTAATGGACTGAATGACAATGCTTAAACTCTAACTGGATTAAAAACTATTTAAACTACAAACAGTGTTTGTGTTCAGTGTGTGTATACTCTGGGGCCCTTCCGCTCTCCTTTGGCTTCCTGGCTTGACTACTGCTGCAATACTCTTCTAGGGGTTAATCCTCAAATCCCTAACAGCCACCAAGGACTTAGGACAAAGAAAGAACCTCTGCCCCCTACCATCAAAAGGAAGAAACGCAAAGCAGCGAACAGAGAAGCCTGGAGATGGTGTCACTTAAAATCTTGGCTATTCTAATGCAGCAAATATAGAAAATAAGCAGGGATCCCAATCCACGAAGATGACCAACATGTGATGGGCACCACTGAAATTTGGTGGGGATTTGGTACTTTCAGTTGGGACACTGCAATGGAAGTTAGGATTTATTCAGAAGGAAAGCCCCAATAGAAAGGGGGGGGGGGGGGGGCACTGCACTGCAGACGGGGGTAGTGCGCCCGTCCTTGCTTTTCCTGACATTCAGCTGCTTCCAACAGCATTAGCCATAGCATCCTTCTGGTCTGGTTCCAGGAGTAAGGAGTACTGCCTTCTGCTGGGTCTTCCTTCCTCCTGGACCAGTTCCAGTTGGTGTTGATAGGAGGGGAAAGGTTCAGCTCTCAGCCTCTGCTCTGTAAGGACCCTTTCTCCTCTCTACATAAAGCTGCGGGGGTGTGTGTGTGTGTGTGTGTGTGTGTGTGTGATCTAATGGCATGGGGTGAGTTATCATCACTGTGCTGATGATACACAGTTAAGTGATGCTTGGAGGTTCTTTGTGTCTCAGTGCCTGGGGACTGTCAAGGTTTGAATGGGGAATGGCAGGCTCAGCTCAGCCCAAGAGAGGCTGAGTGTTGGGCTCCCTGGTTCTGAGACTTTCCATCTCTTGTTCCGGATGGAGTTGCACTACCCCAAATGGGATCTGGGCACAATCTGGAGGTCCTTCTGGTCAAAGAACAGGTGGCAGCAGGTGTGTTGTGTGCCAATTCTGTTCATTCCTCAACCTGCTCACGGTAGTTATGCTTTAGTCACTCTACAACGGGGCTACCTCTGAAAAGGATTTGCCCACCCTTTGGAACATCATTCCACTAGGGATTAGAATTGGTCCAACTCTGCTGGCCTTTGACAAGATCTCGAAAACATGGCTTTGCCAATAGGCATGGGAACTGGGAAATGTGGCAAAGCTGGCACAGAAACCGCACTAATTACTGACAAATATGATTACCTCAGTTACGAATTTTATGATTTTTAATGTCATTAGATAAGCTAAGTGTATTTTTCCTGTTTAATGGGTGTGGTTTTTTTTATTATTTGTAAGCCACCCCAAGGCATCTGTGTGGATGTACGTACACACGCATTTAGCGGCTGTATAATAAGATGGTTGTAGGAGGGAAGGTGACTTGCACCTTAGAAACTTTTTGACTTATACACACCACCCGTTGGCAAAATAGGCTGCTACAGGGTGTTTGCTTCTTTTGCTAGATAATCAAAGATCACATGAAGATCCTACACAGAGCTTTCAGATCCCTGCCTTAGACTACCAATAAAAAGAGCAACAAGTTGAGGGAGCTGGGAAGATGCAAATAAAAAGTACCCGATTTCTTGCTGTCAGACTCTTTTTAAGTCTAAACCAGGGGTCCCCAAACTTGGCAACTTTAAGACGTGTGGACTTCAACTCCCAAATTCTCCAGCCAGCATAGCTGAAGTCCACACGTCTTAAAGTTGCCAAGTTTGGGGACCCCTGATCTAAACCAATGGTCGCCAACCAGTGGGCCGGGGACTACTAGTGATCCATGAATTTTTTTTGGAGCTCCTCAGAGAAATGCCCCCCCGCCAAAGCAATTAATCCAGGCTGCACGGGAACACAAGGCTGCGCCACCCACATGGCCCGTGGGAACACAAGGCTTGCGTCGCTTGCATTTCGAACATGAGGTAGTGAGGGGAGGGGGGAAAGGGTGGAGGGGGGAACTTGCCCCACGTGCCTGGCCTTGCCACCGGGTTGCTTCTTTCTTCTTCTGCCTTTGGCTACATGCAAGGAAAGCAGCAAAAGTCTTTTTTTCTCTCCCCCAAACTCTGCCAGAAATGAGTCTTTGGGACCCTGCAAGGCCTCCTGCTCTAAGAGGCTGCTGCGGCAAAGACTCATTTCTGGCTGAGTTTGGGGGAGAGAAAGAAAAACTTCTGCTGCTTTCCTTGCATGAAGCCAAAAGTCTCTCTCTCTCTCTCCCCTCCCGCCTGAAAACGAAGCTGGAGACGGTATCCTGCGATCCCAAATAGAAAGGATGGGTAGGAAAACGGGGAAGGGAATTTTCCTGCAGACTTTTTTCAGGGTCTCTGGTCCGTGGGGTTTAAAATTATGAGTTTGGTGGTCCCTGAGGTTCAAAAGGTTGGCGACCCCGGTCTCAACGGTTGATTTAGAGTTTGACAGCAAACATGAGGCAGGAAAACCGGCGGTAAAGCTGAGCTTTCTGAATGAACCAGCGAGCGGCTGGCTATCCAAAGGGCGCCCGAGGTTCCCAGGAGGAAGAGCCTCTGGGTGGGAGCGGAGCTTCCGAGGTCCCTCCGGCCGCTCACCTTGAACCTCTCCGGGAGGGACCGGATCAGCTTCACCTTGATGGAGAGGCCGATGAGGGTGGCCATGCTGCAGTGCGGGATGGTGGGCGTGAACTCCACCGACACGGCGCTCCCGGCGTCGCTCACCTGCGAGGGGCACAAGGGGGCTCAGAGGCGGCGGCCCAAGGGGGCGGGGAGCCGCGGGCTTCTACCTCGCGCTCGGCCTCCGCACCTGCACGCGGAGCTGCTCCACCACGTTCAGCTCCTCCAGGGTCAGCGGGTGCTCCGGGTCGTGGATGCCGCGGATGAGATGTGCGCCGTCAAGGAAGGCTGGTCGCGCCGGGGGCCCCGAGCGCCCCCCTCCCTCCTGCCCCCCCTCCCCTCCCCTCCCGGGCCTCCGCCAAAGGATATCGAAGATCTCGCGGTCGTCGATGGCGTCGGGCAGCCCCTCATCCTGCTCGCGCGCTGTGGTGGGCCGCTCGCCCTGGCGCCGGTAAACCAGGGGGTTGGCGTTCTCCAAGCCGCCGCCGCCGCCTCCGCCGCCGAGCGGGCCCACCATGAAGACTGCAGGCCGGGGACCGACAATGGAAGTGCGGCCTACTTCCGGCGTAGGCGAGCTCACACCGACGCACCGCTTCCGCTTGAGGCCAGAGGACGCAAGCGTCGGCTCATCTCCCGGCGCCTGCGCAGCAGTTTACCCGTGGGCCATCGTCCCCCCTCCGTCCGGAAGTGAAGGACTGGTGAGGGAACGGAAGCAGAAAACTGTGCTCGGAGCTCCGTGCGCCTCGCTGGGCCGGGAGGAAAATGAACCCCCGTAGCTGGGTTCCGGGATGCTTCCCGGTGAAGCTCCCAGTCGGATACCCTCCTTACGGCGCGGCCTTCTCGGCCGCTTCCCTCGCGGCGCGCCCCCCAACTGCGGCTCGCGCCGAGGCCAAAGACCGCTCTCGGCCGTGAAAGGCTTTTTCCTGCGTCCACGTTTAATGGCTTTATTTCCCTTGTTCGGTGCCGCTGAGGCTGAGTCTGAGGTTGTTTCCGGAGGGATTCCGCCCCGTCCCGAGGAAGCGGCCGCTCTCTTGGCTGCAGAGCGGCGAGCCTGGCGGGGCATCTTTAGGCCGCGGCCCCGGTTCCTCCTTTCCGACCTCCCCTCTCCTCGAGTCAGAAGCAAAGCCAACAAGAGCTGCGGGACCGGGTTTTTTTCCTTGCCGGTGGCGGCCGTGGCCATCTTGACTTCCCACATCCTCCCTTGATGTTGGCACCGCTCCGACCGCTGCGGTCTCCCGGCCCATGTCTGCTACCACCATGTCGGGCTGATCTGGATCTGGTAGTGCCACAGGTCCTTATCCACCACCTTAAATGGGAGCTTCCATTTAAACCCGGAAGGGTCGGCTCTTAGCCCGTATTCTGTGCAGACGTTTCTGTGCATAAGGCCATATTTAGTTGTGCCTTTCCATGCCTCCTGTTCTTCCCTGCATCTTACGCCCTGCCACTATGTGCTGGGCTGTTTCTGAGGCCTCTCTGCATAGTCTGCCCTTGGGTCCTGTCTAGTCTGGAGGGCTTCTGCTGCTTTAGATCTGGTGCTTGGTACCCCTGCGATATCAGGCTTATGTTTTATGTTTAGAGTCTTATGCATATACAGTACACTGTACACTGAGTACAGTACTCTTGGGACATTTCTTCAACTTTAATTTTGAAGGAAATTTACCCAATCTGGATGAGAGAGTTCCCAAAGCTTCCCATCCAGGATAACCATCAGCTGTGATTTGTCTACAGAGGTGCTATCTGTGAGTAAACATCTTAAGGAGAATATATGAGGAGCCTCTGTGGCACAGTGGTTAGAGTGCAGTACAGCAAGCTACTTCTGAAGCCAGCTGCCTACAATTTGGCAGTTCGAATCCCACCAGGCTCAAGATTGACTCAGCCTTCTATCCTTCCGAGGTAAAATGAGGACCCAGATTGTTGGGGGCTGACTCTGTTAAACGGCTTAGAGAGGGGTGGAAAGCACTATAAAGCGATATATAAGTCTAATTGCTATTGCTATAACATTAAATAACCAGTACAACAATCAACCTTAGAATTGACAATGAAGATATCAAAGTAGTTTCTGCCTTTTAGGATCAATCATCAAAAAAAATAAAGGAATAAGCAGTCAAGAAATACACAACAAACTAGCAATAAGTGGATCAGCTATGAAGGAATAGATATTAGATGCCACAATGTATCTAGAGCTACATAAATCAGAATAGGGCAAGTTGTGGTATTCCCTGTGATACTTCATGGCAACAGGATAGGAAGAGTGTTGATGCTTTTGATGTTGGAAACTTCTGAAAATGCCCTGGATAGCCAAAAACAAATGTAGAGAAATAGTAATACAGATATAATAAATAGAAATACTGTAACAGTAGTATTATAGTATTAATTTAAAAACTTGTTATTCTATAGACATTTTGTTCTCTTGTAAAACATATGCCTCTGTAAAAGCATGTCCTGCAATCAATTGTATCCTTCCTGTATCAAGTATAAGGTCCTGTTATCTGAATCCACATACCTTTGATCTGTGCTGTTATTAGGTGATCAAGTGATCAATCAAGAAGACAAAGGAAAGAAAAGATAACAAAGAACACTGCCAGAAAGGAATCTCTCTGTTGTAGGAAGATCTAAATCTAAGTTAGGAGACAAGTAATATAGAGTATATGACTAGAGTTTTACAAGTAAGTTAGGTGGGGGGTAGGATTCAATTTTTTTAACAACTGGTTCTGTGGGCATGGCTTAGTTGGTGGGCGTGGCTTGGTCATGTGACTGGCTGGGTGTGGCCAACTCAACATCTCTCACATCGAGGCACGCATCTCCTCGCCAGGCCTCATGACTGTGGAGATGCTGCAACAGTCATAAGTGTGAAAAATGGTCATAAGTCACTTTTTTCAGTGCCATTGTAACTTTGAATGGTCACTCCACACAAGCAAAGTACCAGCAAAGGAGGAAAGAAAACTCCAGAGAAGTTCCTTAGACAGGAAGTCTAGTCCTGCCAAGAATGTAATTAAGGTTAACCGAGAGGCAGTTTCTGTAAGCAACACCAGAATGTTTCCTTCCTGACTTCCTTACAGGATTAGCCCAGTAATTTCTTCTAACAACTGGTTCTCCGAACTGCTTAGAATGTTAACAACAGGTTCTAGCGAATAGGTGCGAACTGGTAGAATCCCACCCCTGAAGTTAGGTTATATGACTAGAGTAATTAAGAGTTTTGTGGCTATAAGAAGGACACCACATCTTCTCGTATTTTGTAAACCTTCCTCTCATCTTTTGTGCATGTGTTTGGAATGATCTACTCAGAACTTTACCTTGATCAATAATGAAGTCTGATTTGTGTTTTTTAAGCCTTTGATTAAGTTCATCTTTTGGCTCATTGTGAGCTTAAGTACTTTACCTAACAGCAACAACAACTGATGGATAATAGAACAAATCATTTTGGAGTTCTCAATTGAGGCACAAATGACTAGGCTCAAACTAGCATATTTCAGATTGAAGGGTAATAAATAAAGAAATGTAGTAAAATATAGCATTAAGTAGAGAGTTATAGGCATTTCTTATCTTGCTGTTGTAGAAAATATTTCTTTAACCTTTCACTTGCTGTAAAACAATTATAACACGTGCCTGCAATCAGTTACATCCCTCTCCTATGAAGACACATGATTGTCCCATCTAAATCAACCTGAATCCATCTGTTTTCCTTCATGGATATGTTTCATCCCAGCATTCCCCACCCTCCTGGGAATGAAACATACCTCTCTGGGAATGCAATCTCCTCCATCCGGAGGAATCCACACCTTTTGAAGTATGCTGTTAATAGCCTTCTTAAGTATCAATTGTGATCAATTAGCAGGACAATAGGAGAAGGGATAATGAAAGTTAAACATTGCCAGAAGGACATTTGCCTTTTGCAGGAAAGATGTAAATCTAAGAGAGTTACTTACAATGCAGCTACTCTACTTCTAAAGAATCTTAAAAGTATAAGAAGACTTACTTTTGTATATATGCTTTGTAACCTTCCTCACATATCTTACCCTAACCTTATTGATCAGTTAAAGTTAGATTTTGTTCTTCAAAGCCTCTGCTTAAGTTCATTTTTGGCACATCATGATCTTAAGTTATAGCTGGACTTTAGAAGATAGAAAATTCAGCTTTCTTAGAAAACTCTAATGGTGGGAAAGATGGAAGGAATGAGATGGAGCGGATGATCAAAACAATGTACATAGATTTGATTACAATATAGGACTGTTGGAAGTTGTGGTGAGACATCCTCCTGGAGCAAATAGTTGCGATTGCTAACAGTTGATATCAGTTTGATGGCACATAATTGTCAGGCTTGTCCCAGCTCAGTCCTTAGGAAAGGAAGACCCTTGTTTTCATTTGGTTGAAACGGTAGGTTCTTTTACTAACGTTCAGTGGTTGCGGCGAAAGAAGAGCCAGATCTGAACATTGTCTGCAAAAGGTTACACTTTCCCCCCTTCCCTGGACCTTTCCACTTGACCAGTTCATCACTGTCTAATGACATAATGCCGTTTAGACGTTTTGGAACGGCTTGGATGTTTGGCTCCACACGATGTAATTTCCGCATTCTGCTCTCAGGCCAGGCGTCCCTGAATGCTGGTGTAATCTGGTTCTGGCCCATCTGGTTTCCATCAAGACTGTCACTCGCCCTTTCCCACCTTTTGTCTTTACATTCCCACTCTAATCTCTACTCTCTACATCCCATTGCCCCCCCCCCCTCGCATTTTATGGCAGGATGCCAGCAAAGCATAGAAGCCGAAGATGTTAGACATTTGACAAGAATAATATTACGTGATAAATGAGGGAAATGAGTGATTTTAAAGAGAAATGGATGAGGCCTCAATCTAGCTATGGAGGTTTTTCTCACTGACTGGATCTAGGAGAGCTGTTGAAAATAAAAATATTCCATTTAAGCCCACTTTTAAAGAATACAAGGAAGGAAGGAAGAATTGGCACAGCGAGGAAGAATGAATGCTGCCTCCTTTATGACACATTTGGACAGCTGGGCTTTTTAGAGTTTAATGGGCATTTAGGAGGAGCTGTGACTATCAACTATATTTTATTTTCCATTCTGCTGTTACTTTCTAGCATTCGGGAGTATGATAATAATCACAAAACAACTGGAGACACGTGAACAATATAGAAGAGCTTTATTATTAAGCTTTTGCAAAAGGGAATTCTGCTCATGGCAGAAGACATGGTTCTCAGGAATACAGGTTCAAATATACAGTCTCTGCCCCTTTCCTGGGTTCACAATCTAACCAAGCTACATATCTCCCTACCCATATTATTGTTGCGTAACACCTGTTTCCTTGTCCTTAGAAACTACCCTCATTCTCATGGCTTCTTCCAGTTATGGTCCTGTTATGACCATCTGTAATACAATAGATCATTAACCAGTTCCTTTCGGGTCAGGATAACCTAGTATGTCCTTATGTCCTTATGCCAATAGGTACAGGCGCGTGTTCTACCCAAAGGCCTGACATTTACTTTAGAACATAACAAGTTACAAAAACAGTACATGTTTATTAGATATAGTTATATAACTGTCCCATAATCATTGCATAGTTCAAATGGATAAGTATGGCTTCCCTTCTGT